AATTGATGTTAAATATAAATTATGTTTACCCAGAATATAAAGCTTTAAAACCTTCTTGCCGTGATATTTGATGTAAGGCATCAGTCATACCAGAATATTTTAAATGTGTATATCTTTGATCTAATTTTTGTCCTTGAATTTGTAGACGAGTTTTTGTTGTATCTAAAGGAAAAGTACCTAACCAGAAGTACATTTATGAAAATAATGAATAAATAAATTTTAGTTATGCAAGTAAACTTTTACAATAGAATTATTGTAATTCAACATCACATACCTAATTCTGCAACAATTGAAGCTAAACCCCCATAAACAAATGGTGTCCAATCTTTCCACTGGCTCTCTCCCATTACAACGTTTAATACCTTACAATTAAAGAAAAAGATTGATTAAATAATAACATTATTCTTCAAAATATGAATATTTTTAACACTCTAGATTTAATTTGCAGATTTTATAACTAAAGTACTAATGATACTGCTTATAAAACGAATAAACAATAATAAAATAAATAAATTTTATTTAGGTTAACCGAATTCAAAGTTCTTCCAGTAACATCTTAATATTACATTTAAAGGAATGCATATAAATGAAATGCAATAGGTGTATAGCTATTTATAATACTAATAAGTGATTTTTTGTTGTAATTTCTTCAACAGCAATATTGTCATTAGCAAAAATTTCAAATAATTACCTGTGAATACAGATTATACAATTTGTAAGTATATTATGAATAATACCTAGAAGTAATTAAAATCAATAATAACAGTGAGTTATTATATAAATACGTTTTACTTTGATTGAAAATTCCCTTATATTAGACCCTACATACAGATTGATTCCAGTACCGTTTCCCAAACGCGTTCAAAAAACTTGTAAGTGAAACTGAAAACTTCAACCAATCATCATGAAATGGATACATATACAACATAGTATAAATCCTAAATGTTCCTATATTAAGATTTTCTAGTGGTATCGATAAATTGTATCATTAGCTAGGTATAAATATAAATACGTAGAACTTATAAATCAATTTTACTGTAAAAAGGACAATATATGCTTCGTAGTAAAAAAATTAAGATAATTTTTCTTACTGTATTAACAAAATTTTATTTAGAAAAATTTGTACATATGTAATACAATTAAAGTGTATAAAAAGGTTAATGTAATTAAAAGAATATAGTTTACATTTATCTTTCTAAATTTTTATCTATAACACAGATAAGTCTTTTAGTTAACAGAAACTGTAGAGAGAGTACTTTACAGATTAATTAAAAATTCAATCAACACGTACTGGAATTTTTACATGTACTGTTGTTTTATTTTGATAAATATATACCTGTGTTAAGATTGCAATATCAATTATAACTTGAAGAGTACCACAAACTCCAAATTGAATAGGAGCTTCTTTCACAACAAAATAACATGTTTTAAATACATCACCCAAGGTCCACATTGCAACCATAATAATACTAAAATCACAGAAAAGTTATATGATACATATTACTCATATAGTCACTTTTTATTCCTAAAATAATTTCATACCTCATTCCACTGGTTGATTTATTTAAAAAATTGTGAACAAATTGTGGTACTCCTAGCATAGCTTCTGTTAATAATGCAAGTAAGCCCACAATTTCAACAAATATTGGTACATCCATTAGCAGATATGTTACAACCCCCATTAATGCAGTAAATAGTAACATAAAATCCAAATAAGATTGAAAATCCGTCCATTTCCAAAAATAATTTGTATCAAAATCTGTTTACATTAAATATTAACATGAATTATAAGTTTAGATCAAATTTACGCATATCTGTATATTTAAACTTACCAGAAAATACACGTTCTCTCACTTTTACTACTTGATTTCTATTTTGTACATTTATACAAAGTTTAATCATTATAAACATAGTAATAATCATAAGTATACTTTGTAATAAAAGGGGAATTTCATAACGTTTTCCAAACCTGTAAAAAATATGTATTATTGTACTGTAATCTTAGTTGTTGCAATAAAAGGGTACATAATTAAAGTAGATATACAAACCAAAAGGAAATACGTAATGTATTGGCTATTAGAAGTGTAAGGCATACATAAAGAGAAAATCCTTCTGCATCATCTCTTTTTTTAATTTCCTTATATTGTGGTACATATGGAACAATTCCACCAAATATTATTGCTCCAGAAGCAACCCAATTTGCAACATCTTTAATAGTTAGTTGCTCGTAAAAATTATACATTGTGATAAATTTTTTTTATTCACATGATATTTCACTATCTATGATTCATTGCGTATAGTAAGTTTTAGGTTATAGCCCCAATATTTTTGAACGTCATATCGCCAATGTATCATTTAAATCAAATAAACCTATGATAATAATAAGAAATGATAAACTATTCGAAAACGTTATCTAGAAGATACTAATATGTACATACCTCTACATGTTACGGCTGTATGTTGACATTTGTTCGCATCCAAAGTAAACATATTTACTATATGCATATTCATATATACATATAAAC